GGGGTGGGGTGTTTGGGGTGTGTGATGGGGGGAATGTTGCAGCATTGGTAAATGGGCCGCTGTTGGGGTCAGCAAGTGATAGTGGCAGGGGGTACATTGTGGTCAGTGGGTGACAACAGCAGTGGGGCGAGCGGCCACCTAATTAGAGCTGCCTCAGCTGCTTCCCGTCAGACTGGCCAACAGTGCTGAGTGCTAAGGGGGTGCTGTGCACCAGGCCCATGATGCTCTTAATCCAGCCCTGGGCGCAACCTCGACCAGCAGCTTCCTCACAGGATTGTATGATGATTGCTGGAGACAAAGCCGTCTCTTGCAAACTTCAGCCAACCGGTGAAAGGGGAAAAGGGGGGGTGCATGTAGCTGGTCTTGCCTAGGGCACAAACTAGTCTGGCACCGGCCCTGAGCACAGAGTCTTTTTTTTTGTTTGGCCTCCATTGTCTTCATAGAAAACATGGTTTCCATTAGCTGCACTGATAATGGCCATCAAGCCTAAAACAGCTGTAATATTAGGCCATATCTGTGATGTAATTCACCAGTTTTGGGTGCACACACGTTTCTTGATTAGTAAACAGCAGGAGTGTTCACCTCTATTTTTGGATATATGATGGACGTAAGACATGCAAATACTTTCTGTATAAATAATTTTCTACAGTGCTTTGAACAGGGAGACTTTTTGGTTCCATTTAGCTCATCTCAACATAACCTGTGTTATTTTTCCTTCTCGTTGTTCCTGGTTAGAACTTTAAGGCCATTCAAACTTGTGCATTGTGGCAACACTAGCATTACCTTAGGCATTGTCACATTGGATTTGTCCTAGAATAAATGTCTATTCTATAGTGCAACTTTAAAGTGTTAGGTGCCCATGGATGTTAGCTATTAGTTGCACAATTACTATTGCTTTCCCTGTCTATGCATGGCTCCCCCTCCCTCCTCCCTCACCCTAAACAGGATTGCAATATGAATAAAGCTGCCCATACACCAATAGAATTTCATTCAAGCACAGGGCCGGATTTACTCTATCTGCTGCCCCAAGGCCAGGTTCCTCAATGCGGCCTTCTACCCGCCAAACCCACCCGTGTCATTGAGAGGGGCTTTTATCCAACAGTCCCGCCGCTTTAACGCAGCATGGAAACATCAGCATCGTTTACATGCAGCTTTAAAGCCTTCAATCACAGAGGAGCTGCAGGTGATAGACATCGATTTATTTAATAGGCAGCCACTTACTTACTGACAGCTTGTCAGTCATTAAATAGATCCCATTAAATCTCTATCACTGCCGTGGTGATTAAAGGAAGAAATACACACACACACGAAAATATGCACAGAAACAGAAATATGCCCCCCCCCCCACACACACAAACACATTAATACACCCACAACCAGAAATACACACACTAATACACCCACAATAAGGCCCAATTCACACCTGTAAGTTTAGGTGCAGTCAGGGATTTCTGTGTCAGAAATTTGCATTTTCCTGCAGCAAGAATCCCTACATGCAGTTAGAAAACAGTTACTCTCCCTGGACGCATTGATCGTGCATTCAGGAAGAGTGATTGATTCCTAACCACATGTAATCATATCACATACCATTACATGTGGTGTGCCAGCGTTAACATGCAGCGACTGTCACCTGATCATTAACTTAAACGGGTGACAGCTGCCAGTTGTAAACGCCAGATTAGTGATTGCTGCTGCAGGAAAACGTGAATCCATACTGGCACCTAAACTTAGAGTTGTGAATGGGGCCTCATACACACACACAGACACACACACACAGACACATAGGGAAATACACCATAACACACATTAACACATACACTAAAAATGCAGAATAATAACTCCCCCCCCCGAATAATTTAAAAGAGCCCCATCACCTGCACATTCCCTGTTGATCAAGTGGTTGATTAGTAAGGTATGGTGCAGACCTTACTAATCCTTCCTTTCGTCCGGAGCTCAGAACTGTTGGAGCTCTGGCCAAAAGGAATTACTGAGTGCCAGAGCTAACAGGAGCAGCTATGAAGTCTGCATCTGACAGAGCTACGGGCTGAATGGTACCTTTGAGACCCCTAGAGTAGAGGCTGTGCCGCCCCTCTACTCCCTGCCGCCCTAAGGCCATGGCCAACGGTGGCCTTGTGGGGAATCCGGCCGTGTTCAAACATATTTTTATTTTTGGAAGGTTTGGTTGATTTTCTAATGGATTCCAACTGGGTCTTTTAATCATTTCTTATGTGAACACATAACATTCTTACTGTTAATTTTGTTCAGGAAAAATTGTACGTATTGTAATGCGCATGTACAAAAGAAACCTGTTTATTACATCTGGGATTCCATTTAAATAGCAGGTGTGGATTATATTTTTAAAGGATTTCGAGTAAAATTAGTTGGCTCAATGATGGCAAGATCGAAATGCTCAGAGGAACAATTTTGAATTAAATTCTAACAGTGTATGACCAGAGTAAAGGGATCCTGTTAAGGGGCAAAATTGGCCCAAAACAACATATCAGATGTGAAATAGTCAGATTGTGTGTGCCCCCAATCATTATCTAATGTCTATGTCCAGCTTTAGGCCACCCAAACGCAATACTTAAGTTTTATAGAGTTGGTGGTAGATTAAATAACCAACTAGCTTCTTACATCTCCCTAGGACTCAAGGATTGATATGTGTCAGTTGGATGGCCCCCTACCAAGGACATTATAATGCCAAATAAGTGAGCCTTACATCTCTTGCTGTATGTAAACGGTGTAATTACAAATAGAATGAAATAGACCAAACGGACGAGTTTGTGATATTCAAATGATGAAGGGAGGTCAGCAGAACTGGCATCTCAGGTGCAAAGACTAGGATGAGAAATTAGATGGTGATACAAAACGTCAGCATTTGCCCAGAACTATAACACTGGCTCTGTCTGAACCGTCAATGAATAATCTGCAATTCATACATAATATGATAAATAAAAAACACAGTAACTCACCCAAGAGGACTGCAAAGAACACGGTTAAGGTATACAAAGACATGTTGAACGTCAACAGTGTATGTCGCCT